CCTGCACTTGGCTGAGTCCCAGATCTCGCAGCCACGCCACTGTGGGCTTCAGGTTGGCCTCTATGCTCAAGCCCAAGATTTGAGGCCACTTGCAAATAACAGCCTTCACCAAACGATCTGTCAGACGCAATGCGCCAATCAGAAAAGTACGCAACTGTTTCTGTCTGTCCTCTAGCCCTATTGCAAAAGCTGCTTCCTTGGAAAATTCCTGCACTTTTTCTTTGCACATGCTCCTGTTGTTGACTGCTGCAACCTCGCCGAGCCTTCGCTTCACGTCCTTTCTCAACACGCTTCCCAAAGCAACCAACAGTGCCCCTGACACTTGAACCAAAGATTGCATCAGTGATTGTGAATGACCTGCTTGCCAAACGCCCATCAACAGATCTCGGGAATTGTCTCGCTCCTCCACGGTCCGAAGGTTGTGGACAAGCCTCACTACCTGCGAACCAGAGGGGGCATGCCGCAACAGCGCATCCGTTTTGCGCCCATCCGCCTTACAGCCGTCCTCGTTGTAATGGCCATAGTAGCCGTCATACTCCAGAAACAAGGCAGCCCGCCCCTTTTTCAACACACCATATGATGAAAGATCTGGACATAGCCACTTCGAACCCCAGGCCTCTGAGGGCTCCACGGGAAAATCCCGGAAGAGCTCAGCAATAGGCTCGTCAGGCATCAGAAGCACCGCCAAGTGGGACAAGAGCTCCACCTGCGCAAGAATTATGATCAATCAAATTCCCTCTTGATTAATCTTAGTCCGCCTTACTTCTCGCTAAGTAACCCCAATTAAGGGGGAACCCGCGTAGGACAGTGTAGGTGCGTGGAAAATGCATCCATTATATCTTTCAGCCGGTGGGGATCTTGATGATGAATCAAGATCCTATTGTTTAGGAAGTAGAGCGAGGATCCTCTCAGTTGGGGAAATTACAGAATGAATCCTACAGTCCTGGCGATGCTAACTTCCGAGCCCCCAACCTCTGCATGGCTCCGATGCACTTCCCTGGGCCGCCCAGCCCTCCACCAGGCGGGCGCGCCACAAGCGGCTGGGCCCAGGGCAACAAAGAGCGCGATGGCTAACAGAACTCCGCGTGAGCGCCGTGAGAGAGCCGGCATCGCAATGTTCAAGACCCGAATCACTGAAGGACAACACTACGATCAAGGTATGGCAATGTCACTTCCTGAGGAACCCTGCTGCGTAAACCCTCAACTCTGAACCCTGAACTCAACCACCAAACCTCTTACCGATCACCTGGATCTAAGGTTCCAAGCATGGCTCTTCGTATGCGCGCTTCGTCCCGGGGTCCCTAGATACCTGGCATATACCCCTAGATAGAGACTCCGAGAAAAAAAAGGCTGGAGGCCCATATGAGAGGCTGTACGATCTTGAACCTTAAACCCTCATTGGAGACCCATCCACAGGTTCCCTAGGTCTGCTGGTATGGGACGTGCTTGCAAGGGAGCGCCTCAAAACAAGCAGAAAAATCCTTTAAGGAATTTCTGTGACCCCTATCTGATTCACATGTATCCTTGGGGTCCCCCAGGGATCTACGTACGGAAAACACACTTGAAAGTCTGCGTAGGGCTTCCTGAAGGAAATTCGCCAGAGCTTAGGATCTTCTCAGTGTGTACAGGAAAGGCTTGGGGTTTCAAGTTGAGCTCGGGGTGCAGCAGTTAAGGGCATCAACCACGATCTTTCATGACATTCTACAGACGAGCATCACCCCAGCCCATACTAGAAGGGATCCGTTACGAGAGTCCGAAGAAATTGCTCTATCTACCCAAACCGGTGATGCTTTCATGATGTCAGCTAGCACATCCCTGCCCTGCATGTCCACACATCCACACACGCTTGGGCCTGCTGGCTGCATCCGAGAAATCATTAGGCTAAGAGGCCGTGAGAAAGCAGACGTAGCTGCAGAGCCAGCTGCTACCTTTTCAAGCCATCATAATCCCTGTTTCCATGTTCCATTTGATTCTCCATTATTTGGGTGTGTATATATATATATATGTAACCCCTATACAACCCTAATAATATCACCCCTAATATAACCCTAATATGAGATGAGACCTGACTTCCTGAAGCCCAGGTAGAATTCTACTTTGAGCCATAAGCTTACTGGGGGTTAGAAGGGAACAAACTAATACAATATCTGGGGATTATACTCCCCTATTCCCTACTAACCAAAAGTAAACTTATAACGCTTGAGAGACCCCAGAGTTGCAAGTCCTGATGAACACCGTGATGTCGTAGACGCAGCCGCCTCCCAGACAGCAAGCTAACACACGATATAATTCCCTAGGGCTCCAGCTACCGAAATCATGGGTTCTAGGTTCTATATACTCTACAGTTACATAGGCCAGTAGCCTACTATTTAGGTAACTGGGAGCTCTAGGAATTAATTAGGTAACCAGGCTTCTAGTGCAAGGTGCAGATCGGCTCGGCGTGCTCACAGACAGAACACTCTGCAGTTAGACTGTTACTTCAAGCCCTGAATCCTGAACGCTAGACCCCCTCCCCAAATGGTACTTTCCCTAAACAGAGGGACCTCAGTATGGACCCCACAATACTGTATGATAGGAACCCCCAAGAAGGTGTCCCTAGTTGTGGAAAGCCCCTACATCCCAAAGCCCCGCAGCCCAGACCTACGACGATCCAGGCATCCTCCTTGCGATTGTGCTCTTGTACCTCTGAGATGGATTAACGGGTGTTATCGCAACGGGGGCGTCCCGACATAGGTGTCGTCTTAGGTTCGTTCAAAGGTTTT